TACTCCTCAGAAACACTGTCTCAGTCCCGAAGCACGCCCTACCTAGAGAACCAGCCGACTCAGTGGACCCAGCCTACTCGGTTACCACATGACGAAGTGGGCCTGGAGAGCAGAAGGGACTCATCCAAAGTCAGAGAGTGGTCACAGACAGAACTGGAGTTTGCTGGTCTTTTGCATTCTGGCCCCAAGTCCTCTCCACTGTACCACTTATGTCACAAACTCTTAGGGACGTGTCACTGTCTGCAGAGTAGCTTGCAAATTCCTGTGTCTGGCACTAGTCCCAACTTGGAAGGAAGCAGGCTGTGGGATGGCAGGAAGAAGGAGACACTAGTCATAGAGTCAGAAAACCTGGGCTCTCGCCCTGAGCCCTCTTTGGACCCAGTTCCCTCATTTGTGAAATAAGGGTCTGGAACCACATGCTCTCCAAGGAATCCTCTAAGGGCTCCAAAGTCGTTGACTTCTACCTTCTAACCACGTGGAAGAGTCTGGTCCTTGCGGCTGGGCCTGTGCCCACGCTATTAATTCCACCTGGAACGTACCTTTTGTTTTTCTGCCTCCACGCCTTCCAAGGCCCACTCTGACGTCTCCTGATATTTGCCACTCCAGAAAATGCTCCTTGTGAACAAGCTCCTACCTCAGTCATTAGAGCCTGCTCTTCCCTCGGCCTAGACTACTCCCTCCAAAGAGCCACACAAACTGGTCTCTCAGTCCACTCAGTTCAGTGTCTGCTCAAACGAAGCTTATAAAGATGCTTTCCCTAATCATCTTATCCAAAACAGCACTTCCCCAATCACTCTTCTCCTCGTTTTATCTCTCTTCATAGCTCTTATCACACAATTTATGCTTAGTATATCTTACCCCATTGGAATGCAAGCTCCTTTGAAGCAAAGACATGTCTTTTTTTTTTTAACTTAGAACAGCACCTGACACGTAATAAGCACTCAATAAATATTCACTGAGTGAAATAAATAATTATTTGTAAACAATTAAGTAACAAGAAAGCCAAGCTTCAGGGACTCCACTTCTAATACTAATCTGAGATATTTCTCCCATTCAGTAGCTTGTTCTGTATGCACGCAAGTCCTGAACGGGGGGAAAAAACAAGTCAGGGATGCAGCAAGTGGCTTTGGGAGATAGATGTGGTCAGGCAAACAGCAAGAGATCTCCCTGGAGTCAGAGAGGCTGGTTTTAGGGAAATTCCCTGGCAGTCCAGTGGTTAGGACTCTGTGCTTTCACTGTCGAGGGCACGGGCTCGATCCCTGGTCAGGGAAGTAAGATCCCACAAGCCACAGGATGCGGCCAAAAAAAAAGAAAGACTGGTTCTAGTGCTGAACTCAGCCACCATGTAACCTCAAGCATGTCCTTAACCTCTATATATCAGATAACAACCTACCACACAGGTACACAATGAGGATTAGGGAAAATGATTAATGTGGAAGCATCTTATCAGGCATTGTGCAAGGCATCATACCCTATAGGTGAAGTATTACTTGAAGGTCAGAAGTAGGCTGAAATTGTTAACATGGGAACAGCTTTATTTAAAGATAAACTGTTGGGACTTCCCTGGTGGCACACAGTGGTTAAGACTCTGCGCTACCGAAGCAGGGGACCCGGGTTCAATCCCTGGTCTGGGAACTAGCTCTCACATGCATGCTGCAACTAAGAGTTTGCATGCCACAACTAAGGAGCCTGCCTGCTGCAACTAAGACCCAACACAACCAAATAAATAAATAAAAATTTTTAAAAAAAAGATAAATTGTCACGCCAGAAAAGTGTCCATTCTTTAAAAAAATACATGCACATACATGAATGTTTGTCCACTTATATGTACACGTATTTTGAAGGGAAAACCCAAGCCTAAAAGACACAATGAATATGAACCTGACTTACTAGAAAACACTTACCTGAAATCCTGCCACATATTCCACTCTGTAATGTGAACCCTTTTTGCCAGAACTTCAGACAAACAACCCACTGACTACTATGAAACTGAACCTTCCAGTGGAAGAAATCAACTGCAACCTCTCGTAGGATACTATGAGCCTCTAGGATGCACTAGGGCATCTATGGCTTCCACCGACTGCTTCTGTGCTGATTAATAAAAGCAAACCATTCAACCACTTCTGTAAGTTATATCTCTAACAACAACCCCCAGAACAGGTTAGCATTACTTGTTGCAGTTGGTGGGTAAGAAAACCAAGCCCTATCTCCTCTAAAAATCCAAGCTTGATATTTAACCCACACCAGTTTCTTCCTAACCTGAATACTTACAGTACTGACTGACTGACGGGCATGCACTTTGGTGCTGGATCTTACACCATCTCTGTAGCATGTCAAATGTCTTTCTTGTGTGGCAAGGACTATGTTGTATTTCTCATATATTCCCCAAAGAACTTAGCACAGGGCTTTCTTACCACAAGGAAGATGCTCAGTAATACTGAATTGACTGAATCTGAAATGAACTTAAAATAAAATTGTAGTAAGCACACAAGGAATTTAGGAAGAAAGGAATTTAGGAACAGAATAAAACTCAGAATTCTTGGAGTTCCTAAGTTCCAAATTTAATTCATAACCTACCAAAAAATACTGATTATTCATATCATTTGTATTTTCATTCTGTAGGCAAAGCTCCATGAGATAGGCATTCCCTCTCCAACAAGGAGATGGAATTGACCACTTCCATTTTCCAACCCACAATGACCCCAACACCTTTCCCACAGAACCGGTAACAATTACGACCCTGATGTTGACAGGTCTGCTCCCCAAGACAATTAAATGGTCCTCAAAGGCAAGAATACCACCTAATTCATCCTTCTTTCTTATCACCTGAGCTTAGCACTGTGAGACACACAATAGCACTTAATAACTATTCGAGAATGTTAGAGAGAGAGTATGTCAAGGAGAGAATGTTAAGAAAAAGAGCATGAGATTGTAAGCCTGCCAGCCAGTAGGTTCATCTGTACCCCAATAAATATTTTATAAGAAGCATATTAATTAATAATAAGAAGAAGGATGAACAAACATTTATGTAAAACCCAAAACACTGATGGGGTTGATCACAAAGCAATGAGTTTAGCCTCCATAATTAGTTTATCATCCCAACTTGAAAGCATTTAGATAAATTCAGTCATTCTTAAAAAACATTGTTCTTTCAAAATAAACCTTTCTTGACCTTTGCTTGGCATTTTCATTGGAAAAAACAAAAAGATTACTCAAATTCCACTCCTCTGCTTAAAAAAAGAAGAAAAGAAGAATAAAAGAGTAAAATCTAAATCTCATCCCAATATAGGTGGCAAAGTCATTTTTTCCACTATGCGTAAACACCTGTAATTATATCGAAGCATTTAAAATTGAAAGTGTGTTAGTGAACTTCAAAATACGCATGAATTTTGCTACAACCTGGCAGATAACTTCTAGTTAAACGATCATCACTCTGGAATGAAGAAATATCTCCTTCAGTCAATGTTTTCAAGTAGCTACAAGCTACTAGTCAAAGTTTCAAATTAATGAAAATTCCATTTTTGCCGAGTCCGTAGAATACCTAATCACATTAATTCTTCCAACTTTCTCATGTACAGATTGGCCTCAAGATTTGGAATCATCTGCGCTGCCATGGGGTACCTGGTTATTTTACATTACATTCTTACCCCAAAACTAAAGAGTGAAGGGTGCTTCTGCCAGAGTCAGCTAGAGGAGACAGAAAAGACCATGGCCTGAAAAGACCATGGCCTCTGCAGTCAGGCTTGGGTTTAAATCCTGACTCTATCACCTGCTGACAGTCTGATGTTGGGCAAGTTATTCAGTCTCTCTGAACCTCTATTTCCACCTTGGTAAAACAGGGTTAATTCAAACTTCCTACAGCTGTTATGGGGACTATATTACATCGTATATAAAAAGTGACTAGCACATAATAGGGACTCAATAAATGTTAGTTTCTCTTCCCACTTTTTTCACAGCCACAAAAAACTCATTCAACATCTTTACTTTTAGAGCAACACCTCTACAGTAGTTTCCTGCTTTGGAGTCATTTCTAGGCCTGCTGATAGCCAGGTCGCAGTTCATTAAAACATTTACATATGTTCTTTGCCAGTTTTAAAAGAAAGAGTTCTTGATGGAAAAAACAAAACAGCTTTATAAGCAGTCTTCTCCTACCTCTGATTCAAGAACAATTTTTAACAGTCTAACTACTTCTAAAAACCTCTTCTTTATTTTGGTCCCCACTGATTTGGGGAACTTGTCGCTGTCATTATAATAAACAATCAATACATTTATTCTGAAGAAACTACTAGCCAGGGGAATCATTAGGAGGAATCTTGGTACCGAAATCTTTGGCAGAATTCTAGATTTCCATTAAGTTTGCAAAATTCTGTGAATTCTAACAAAATGTTACCAATTTTTATCCTATGAATATGTGTTTCAGAGAAAAATTCTTGTCTGGATTTAGTTTGCTACTTTATTCTGGACTTATTTAGCTAAACATTTGCAGAAAATGAGTAAACTATTATATTCGTTGCTATTTATATGGTTAAGTCACCACACGGCTAAATATCTCCTGAGGGGAAAAAACAGCTTGGGATTTAAGCCAGGATGACAATTGTACACCAAAACTGAGAGCTTCTAGAGATAACAGGCATTTTGTTAGGTTTGAAGAATTCTACTACTTCTGGATTTTTTGTTTCTCAAGGATAGTTTGCTACTATTCCTATTTTGTAGTTTAGTAGAAATGTAAAAATTCCCTTCCTCTATCCTCCTGGCACGTAAGAGAAGGACACTAGTTGGCATGCACTGTGTTTATGTCGACAGCCAGAGCTATTTTAAGCTATTTTAGTACTATCCAAAAAGGTTAGCATGACATTAGCAAGCTAAAAGGTAAATTCTCAGTCTTTGGTCACTTACTAAGAACATTACTTTTTAACAACCCAACTGTCTACCTCTTGGTCATACAAATAAAAATAAAATTCAAAAACATAAACCATGAAGCCATAATTAGAAAGTCCTACCTTTTGCGCATCTCCCGTAAAATATGCAATGGCTAGGGTGGGCAGAATCATGAACAGTGCATTGTAATAGAGCAGACCATATTTTCCCAGCTCCTAGGAGAATAAAAAATTAGGTGTTTCATTTGGTTCTGGTAGACAGAGAAAGACAACCCTGTACAGAGTGCCACCCCCCATTACAAACATGCACCCCTCCCCCACAACATACACAGCAAATTAGTCAAGTCAGAAGTCTTGCAAACATTAATGACCTAAGCTTTCCAAAAAAAAAAAAAAATGCAAACTTACAAGATTTCAAGTTTATTTGAAATAAATTCCTTGAGTGCTTAAGATCAGAGAAATAAAAATGACATCAACTCGCTGCCTCAAAACAGCAAGGAGAAAAGAGGTTATTTTGAACACAAACATACACGTCCTTGGAGCCCTTCCCTTTCCAGAACAGAATAAAAGTCACCAAGTTAGTCTTGGGCTTTTCAGAACTATAATAGAGTGCAATTTAACAGACACAAAGACTCACACCTAGACCAACACAGACAGACATAACTTCCCAGTGAAGTATTTCTGAAAATGTATACGGGAAGTACAATGAAGATTAAGAAGAAAGAAAAGAAAAAGAAAAAGGAAAAGAAAAAGAAAAAAAAAGAAAAGAAAAGAAAAAAGAAAGAAAGAAGATTAAGATTACCCTACAGGGACTTCCCTGGTGGTCCAGTGGTTAAAAATCCACCTTCCAATGCAAGGGATGTGGGTTCGATCCCCGGTTGGGGAACTGGGATCCCACATGCCGTGGGGCAGCTAAGCCCTCACACTGCAACTACTGAGCCTGTGCGTCACAACTAGAGATCTCACGTGCTGCAACTACAGAGCCCACATGCTCTGGAGCCTGCACACCACAACTAGAGCGCCCATGTGTCACGACTACTGAGACTGTGCGCTCTGAAGACCACACGCCACAACTAAAGAGAAGCCCACGCACCACAACAAAGAGCCCGAGCACCACAACAAAAGATCCCACGTGCCACAACTAAGACCCGACACAGCCAAAAATAAATAAATAAAATAAACATTAAATTAAAAAAGATTACCCTACAATTCCCAAAATATGGTATGACTAGTTGTGCCCTCAGCTACTGGGGAGCAACACACATCTTCAAACACAGGGAGTCTATGAGAACTGTGGGTCCACCTTTGATTCACAGAATTCTGGGACATTCAGCAGGAAGCAGTCACCTAAAAAAGTAGGCCTGAGTTTGGAGGGTAAAGGGGGGGTAAAGGAATAGTGAGGATAGGGGCATAATATCTGCCTAACTTCTGTGACTGAAAGATCACCAAGTGATATGAAAAGTCAAACTACCTTCTCAAAAGCAGGGTTTTTTTTCAGTGATATATTTTTTTTAATTTTTATTTTATATTGGAGTAGAGTTGATTAACAATGTTGTGTTAGTTTCAGGTGTACAGCAAAGTGATTCAGTTATACATATACATGTATCTATTCTTTGTTATGCATCTATTTAGGTTATTACAGAATACTGAGCAGAGTTCCCTGTGCTATATCAAAAGCAGCTTTGAAAAACTGGAAACAAATACCTAACAACAGAAAACTAGTTGATTAGACTATGATACAACCATACAATGCAATATTATGCAGCCACTAAAAATGTTTAATACTGATTGATGAGGAAAGTGTTCATGAAACAGTACTAAGTGAAAAATACAGGTTAGAAAACATTATACTTCATCACTCTTTTAAGTTTTTCTCATAGTTAAGTGTGTACATGCACACATACACACAAACACACATTCTTACAAAAGGGTATCTACCAAAACAGTGCTTCTCACTCAATGGTGGAATTAAGAAAGATTTATATTTTCTTCCTCTTGTTTATCTATGTTTTCTACTAATTCTATTATAAATACATGTTATTTGTGTGATTTCTTTTGAGTTAAAAATGTTTTAAATTCAGTAGCTGCATTCAGGTCTGAAATGCAGCACTAAGTCTTTATGTCATGTGATTCATGCTCAAAGGACCACGATTATAAGCAGTTCTGAAATGATAGGTAATAGAGCTCCTGATTAAAAGCATCTCATTGTGGCCCTACTGCCTGCTGGATAAACCAAATAACTGATTGCTTATGGCCACCACAGCATCAATGAAAAGGTGTGCCTGATTTCTAAGGCAGCAAGAAAAAAGCCACAGTAGGACAAAACAACCTTTAACATCAGGTGCCCCAACAGCAAGAGACATGAGTGTTATCCGGGAAGTAGAGGATGCCTACACACACACACACACACACACACCATCCAGACAGCCGACAAATGCCAAACTGTTGTTTTTCTTTTCACTTGTTAACTGTTTTAAATATCTTTTCCCCTGTTTTCTTAAACAGAGTACATTGACTACAATTTAATTTAGGGCATCATCATTAACGTGCATTACTGTATTGTGTTTTTATATGGTGTTGTCCATCTTTGAGTAGTTCCATCTGACTTTCATAGTTTTCCTGTTTCTCTTGTTATTAGCTGAGCTTTTATATTGCTGATAAGCCTCTGCCTCCAGGTAGGATTGTTGCTCCTAATCCATGAACTGTGAAAAGCAGATCAATATGCTTAAAAGTTCTAATACAAGTAAGCCATAAGTCATTTCTGAGTGAGGAACTAAAAGGCTCCCCTGGGAATAAAATACTCAGAAACCCCCTTTGCTTTGTTTCGTAGGTTCTAGGATGTACTCTAGATTGTGCTATCCAATACAGTAACCACTGGCCAAACGCAGCTATTTCAATTGAATTATAATTACATTAAACTACCAGTTCAGCTCCTCAGTTGTGCCGTCACTTATCAAGTGTTCAACAGCTACGTGTGGCTAGTGGCTACCATTAATGGTCCGCAGAGATAACAGATTTCCATCATTATAGAACTGTACTCGACAGTACTGTTTTAGACAGATGAGGCTACTGGAGAAATGAAATGTTATTATTACTACGTATTTCCAAAGCAGCAAAAAACGAGAGTAAAACTAAATAGAGCTCTAACTGTTCACTTTTCTCTAGCCATTGCACAAAGATTAAATTTTTTAATAGTAGCTTCCATTAAAATGCAATCATCATACAGAGTCATCAAGGCAAATAAACGGAGAACAAGACGTAAAGGGTATATTCAAAGAAAATTTGCTGAAACTAGATCTATACTGCCCCTAGTTCTTCCAGGCTATTCAAAATAAACATTCTAGATTATTCAAAATAATGAGAACTACTGGGATGGCCATATATTCTACAGTCCTTTCTGAAGAAGGCAAAGCCACCAGCCAAGATGATACAAACTCTATACTAATACTACTATCAAGCAGGTAGGGCATCTGTATTTATGATCTGAACCCCAAAAAAGGACCTGAAGTAGTTTCAGAAATACTGTACATATAATAGGGCCAACTAAAAGCTAAGCGGATATGGTCATCTGACTGATGAGAACGCAGGGGTAGGAAAATAAGATAAAGCTATGGTCAAGTTATAAGACTTAAGTACTAGATAAAAATACACCAGCTCCTCAGGAAAAACTACGACGGTATCTATGACAACGATCTCATGTGGGTCTTCACATAGGATCCATTATGATAGAAAGGACAACTCCTTCAATAACAACCCTAGGATATATAAAGCTGAGTTCCATGTAGCTTCTCCTTACAATAATGCAATCTTATACCATAATGTAGTAAAATATGGCTTGAGTGCTCAGCTTTCTGATGGTCTGGCTTGATCTCAAAATAAAATTTTGTGTGTTTATATTCAACATATACATTAGACAAATAAAAATATCTTTAAAGCCTTCATGTGCATGCTGCAGTTGAAGGAAAAGAGCGGGGTATATGAAGTTCATGTGTATGAGATCTAGGCCAGGAAACTCGGTGCTGCCCCTGAAAGAGAGAGATTCTAATACTGCCTAAGTTTCCCATTACAGTTGGCCCTCCATATCCATATCTGCATCTGAGGATTCAACCAACAGTGGATGGAAAATATTCGGAAAAAAAAGTAAAAATTCCAGAAAGTTCCAAAAAGCAAATCTTGAATTTGCCACACAAGCAACTGTTTACACAGCATTTACATTGTATTACAACTATTTACATAGCATTTATATTGTATTAGGTATTATAAGTAATCTAGAAATGACTTCAAGTATATGGGAGGACGTGCATAGGTTACATGTAAATACTGCTCCATTTATATAAGGGACTTGAGCATCCGAGGACTTTGTTAATCTCGGGGGTTCCTAGAACCAATCTCCCATGGATATTGAGGGACTACTATATATTTGTAGGACAAATATGCAAAGTCCATCCTTGTTCTTGTTCCAACTCACTTCTGAAATCTGCTCAAGAGCTTCCAGATACTTCTTTCTTGTCCAGGTCCCTCGCCAAGTCCTCCAGAACACAGCCATGAACGTTTATGACACTTTTCTCTAATGAACACTCCTTACTTACATCACTATCCCTCTCAAAGTCAATATTCACCCAGTCCCTTCCAGAAAAGCAAACAGTAAAATCTAACTGCTAATTAGAAAATAAAGTTTCTTACGTGAGCACCAAGGTACAGGCATTTTGCATCCTTCATAAGTATTTTTCCTTATTCCCCACTTTATCTCCTGATCAATTGACATGACCATTCCCAACAACAGTAAACATCTCTTAAAGAAGCGTGAGACTGCTACCTACTTTTGAATCTAATTTTTGTTTTACGTAGGCACCATTTGCTGCTGTCAGGACATCATTTATCAGAATAAAAACATATCCTTCCAGATCGAATGCCAAGTCAGAGCTGCAAAACATAAGTAACACTTTAATAACAACTAACATTTAAAGAACATGCATTAAATTTTAAGTAAGTCTGAACTACAATATTTCTAAGAACATATGCTTATCTAGTGAGTATTAGGCATTTTATCAGCTACTAGTATTTCTTGGTTCCTGGTTAGAGTTTGCAATTTCATAATCAGTAAGGGGGTCTTCAGAAATGAGAAGCACTAACACTTAAACAAAATCTTTAAAAAAATTAGCAATAATCAACCACGTCAGTTAATAGCACACTGCTCTGAATTCAAAGTCAGACAACAAGAAAGAACCAACCAAATTCACCATTACAATATATCCGAAGCAAGCAGAAGGCATCAGAGCTCAATTTCACAGATAAGGAAAACAAAAGGAGAATGAAGTTGTTAACACGTCATATTTCAAAGGTTCACACAAAAGGTAGGGCTGTCTTGCACAGGTGGTTGGGCCATTGGGTGGAATTTCTGAAGTGTGGATGGTGGTTAGTTCTGAGATCAGGCTACATCAGTGTCTAAGCACATAGTGGGAACTCAAATACTTAAAATAATTGCCTAATGAGCCTACCAGGTATAACTAGTGGGATTAGGGAAACTGAAGTTTCCTGATATTTAGCAGAGCACCAGGCACAAGACCTTAGTAAACTGAACAGAATAAATGAAAATCTAAGTACGCCTTCAGCATACTTTAGCACCCTAGCTAAAACAGGGGCCCTGCATTCTGTGATTCTGCAAAGGTGTTATCTATTTGTAGCTAAACTACTACATGGGACAGACTTCTGAGGAGCTCTATGCCACTGCAATTTCGGGCAGAACTACCTAATGACCCAACCCTCTTCCGAGGAGCCTGACAACCTCTAACTCCAGACTCTCTTCCTCCAAATTTTTTTCACAAGTAAAAGGTTCTACCAGATAGCAATCTGCCTCAGAAACTTTTTGCAGGCCAGAGTTAGCCCTGAGAAACTCCTGTTGTTTTGCTCTGTTTTAGATAGCACCAGCTTCAATGAAATGCTTCAAAGATTAGTAGGGCATCTTTAAAAAGAAAGGTAGGAGGCTCGTATAGAATTTTTCTCCAAGGAGGAAGGTTACCTAGAGGGAAAAGCAGTCAGCTATATAACGAAATTCTAGTAACTAACTACTCTATTTTTTTTTTTTGAATGAAATTTCACTTCGAGAGTTAGGGTGGAATAGAACTGACTTATAGTACTTTCCCCCCACCTATACTACAGGGATATGATGAAGGTAAATGAGCCAATTCAAGAAGCACACTGGAACTCCCAGATGGAAAATACAATGTCAGGCAGAATTTGCGGCATTAGCAAACCCACACATGCAGAGTAAAATGTTGTAGAAGGCTTCCACTCATCATTTCAATTTTCTGAGTCTTTGGGTATACATCTTCCCCATTCACTTTAAAATTAAAACTTAAGAACAATGGAAAAAAGCTTTAATAGAATATCTAAGTTACGGCATTTGTGATACCTCAATGTGAAACCCAATAAAGCAATTCTATTATTTATTTCCCATAAGGCAAATAATTTATTATCATTTGCCTTCTCTGAGACACTATTTTCTTTAGCAGCATGCAAAGGAAAAGAACGTCACATGGTTTATAAAAGCACACAGGCTCTGGAGTCAGGCACAGATTCAAATTCCAGCTCTGCCATTTACTAGCTGTGTGACCTTGAGCAAGCTACTGAACCTAGATTTTAGTTTTCTCAACATAAATAGGAAAATTATACCCATACCTTTCAGAGTGGTTGTGAAAAATACATAAATAATATGTGTAAAAATACCAAACGTACTGTATGGCACATGGTATATGCTCAATAAATAGAAGATAGCATAATAAACTCTAATTCAACCTTCTGAATGAATGAATGAACTTTTAGAATGAATTTAACTTTTAAGAATCCCAAGAATCTGATTTTGCTAGCCTTAATCTTCATACAGCCAAAAAGATTTAACTTTTAAAAGTCTTTTACTTTTCAGAAACATGATTCTTATTTAGCCTATAAAAAAATTCTCTTTATTGGTAATTGATCATTTATTATCAATAATTATTGATAAATTCTAATGTACTCTCATAGGTTTTATATAGGCTCCCCATCTTACCTGGCAGCTACAAAGGCTCCAATAATCATTGCAAATACAGTCATCTTAATACCCCAAGAAAAAGTCTTCCTACAAAATAAAATAATTAAAAAATACATACATGTGGCTTTAGTTATTTACAAAGACTCGTTCTGCAACATAGGCAAAAAATATATGTTTTCTTTAAAAAAGTTGTAAACAAATGATTCCAAGGAACTGGATATTTAAAAGAACCCCTCTGATGAAGCAAAAACTTACTTTCTTATATAAGTAAGTATACTTATTTTTTCTTATTTTTACCATTTGTTATTATTATTATTGAGCTTGAATTTTTGCTAATCAGATTTCTTTAAGTTGAAAATGGCCACACACATTTGTAGTAAAAGTAGCCAAGACATGAACACTATTTAAAGCCTATACTGATCTTCTGACCCAGCTTCACCCAGTGGCATCAGTAGGTATAGGAATTCTTGAAAGTATACCTCATGTTCAGCCAGGCTTCCATAAGGAAGCCATAAACTATCAACTCCTACAGCAAAGGGAGAAAGTTGCTTAAACTTCTCAAAAGATTAAGTAGAAACAACACAAATAATTGTAATATCTTACATATGCTGGGCACCTTTTCAGGGTGATTAAAGTTGGTTAAAGACTAGATATATTAGAAATTTAACTCACTTGAGTAAAAGTCCTTCAGCAAACATTGTAAACAGGATGGAGAACCTTCTCAGAACTGTAAACATTGGCAAGCTGCAGGAAAAAAAGCAAAGATATTTAGGTAAAATAAAATTTGATTCTCCAAAATTAGTATTTTAAAATAATGCTAATCTCTTCCTTCCATTATGGAAATTCCATGCTGATTAATCTGTGACTAAATTAAATCCTTATTTCTCTCTAGAAAGTATTTGAAAGCCTGAAAGGGTTGCTTTTATAAAACTACCAGAAGTGAAAAACACCAAACTAATTATAAAATGGTAGAAAACATACATCTATTAACAAAAACTGATAACAGACACTTTTAATTTTACCCTGCTTATTATGTTAAACACCCTGAATGGTAATCATGTTAGTCTTTAAGACCTCGTCTTTCTTTTCTAGACTGACCCCTTTCCTACCCCTAACTTTCAAATAACATCAGTGATAATCTTACCCCATAAAACATTCCTTGATTGTCCTTTTGTGGAAGTAATCCTGTCTTCCTCTAAATTCCTAGAGCATTCTGCTTGCACTAATCAAACACACAGCCTCTTGCAACATAATTATTTCTGAATCTATCTCATCTCACCCCAAAGTGCCTTATACTTAACTGGCAATCAAAGATAGGGTGTGAAAAAATGGATAGATGGATAGATGACAAAGGATGAAAAAGAGCAAACTCTATATACAAGCAGCACTTTGCAGCAGGTCTGCATTTCTTTCCAAGTGGGTAATGAGATGTAAAAGGATGCCCCACCCATGATAAATCTGACTTCCATGGAACCTTAACCAGAAATACCATCGTGGTCATTCTGTCAAGTTTCTTGGGTCTGAGGAAATGAAAAAAGCTTGGTCTCTACCCTCAGAGATCTCTCCATTCTGTTTTACAATCACCCATTAAGCCAGAGGTTTAGCTCACGTGACAGTGGTGAAGCCATGGGTTTCTGTTAAATGGTTTCCCTATGTGTATACTTTTAACATCACATATACCTAATACATACACTCTTTAAGTGGAAAAGCCAGGAATTGGGAAGTTAGAGGATAATAAGCGTTGTCATGGAGTAGAGAGCTACTGCTTCTTTCTAAAAGTGAAAATGCTGCCTCTAAAATCATATGGCCATGTGTAAAATGTTAATCATATTTGTATCAGGGTTCCATCTGATGCTATTTTAACTACCCCATGTTAAAAGAAAAACTACAAAAGTTCTCATATCCACAATCTAATTTTACTTGTGGAATTTGCCTAAAATATACTATTTATGAATTGTACTAATGAATTGAAATCTCAGAAGCCTAACATATATCCTTCACTATTATAGGTCTGGAAAAATAATGAAAATCTCCCATCACAGTATTTTATAACATTTTAAGACTTCTATCAACAAAGTGAAGGGAAAAAAAAACCCCAAACAAACAAAAAACTTCTTTCTCTTCAAACTTAACAGATTAAGTTTCTGGTCCTTTCATTTTTCCAGGATCAGTAACAATGTGTTAAACATTTGACATTTTCAAGTACAATTTTAAGAACACATTATATTAACCTCACTAGTAAAATAAAGTTATCCATACTTCAGTTTCTTTGTGCTGAACAGTCCCGTGATTTGGTTCCCAAAATATAGTAGAGGTAGTGGAAACGTCTAGAAAATTTAAAAAGGGATAACAAAACTCAATAATAAAGACAGCTAAAACAAGGTCCTTTTCAAACAGAAACAGTTTTGTTTATATGATCAAATTCTTTCTACTTAAAACACAAGATTAGTTCTCACACACAATTTTGGCCCCCATGAAGCACCCAAACAACATTACTCCTGGATAAATAGCTCTCTGCAGAAAGAATGGAAGGGAAAAAAGAAACACAAATATGAATATGATCAAAGCACAAGGGACAACAACATCTTTCTTTACAATATGATAATGTAGAGCCCATTGTTCCGATGTCAGCAGAAAAATGAAAGGCATTTCATCCTCAGGTGGAGTCAAGCAGAGGCAGATCGAAGAATAAGAAAATAAACCCAAAGAATAATGAATGCAGGATACACAGATTAGATGGACGTAGAAAATGCAAAATGACTGTAATCCCAGCAAGTGTTCAATAATTAAAACAGAACACAAGATCTAGGGGCATTTTTTCTTAACTTTAAAGAGACTGTGGGACTTTTTAAAAACACATATTACTATATTTATTCTTTGCCTGCATTATACCTACTCTGGATTGGGCGATTTCAAGGCTGCAATTTTTAAATATGTAAGGCACTGATGAAAAATATATATAGTGACTTCTTTTCAGAACATAAAGTATGACTTTTTTTTTTCTTTTTTACCTTTCGAGGTACATTTCTGTCAAAGTCAGGAAACTTGACTACTCTGAGTGCCTTTCCAACCCAGAGTACTGCCACTGTGGCCACCATCTGTAAACAGAGAACACAGATTCACTGTTCTACATATAAAGACACATTCAGAAGTTCTAACGACACAAACCACGTAATGCTGAAGATTCCAACTAACCTGGCCAAGTCCAACACATAGTGAGGAGGGAAATCTACAAAAATGGTAGAGAAAACAAAAAAAACACAGGGTCAGAAAAACCTGAGCTCGGTGAATTCAATTTGCACATCGGCAACCTTACAATGCATTTTGATACAAAACACACCAACGTCTACCCCTCATCCAAATGACAATCAGAGAAAAATCCCTGCCAGTTGTCAGGCAACACCGCTGATTTTGTAGCCTCGGGCTGCCACTTGTCTCTTCTTGTCCGATTCTAGAATTTCAGTCGGCTGCCTGTAACGGACTTGTCTTGGAAGTGAAGACATACATCTCTTGAACAGTTTCACACATTTAAAAAAAAAAAAAATGTTTCTGCCTTTGTGGTCCCAGTGGCAGCATCACAATCATCTTAAATGGGCTTGAGGATGCGTAGGTCCCCAGAGGCTGTCAGCGAAGTCAGAGAACCCTGAAGCCCCGGAACCTAGCCCAGGCTGCGGGGAAGGCCGGGCATCCCTCTCCGGGCTCCCAGCCTGGCGTGCACAGGAGTCAAAAAAGTCACGAAGCAACTCCGCTCCGTCTCTCCGAAGGGCAGCGTTTCCAGGCTGCTGCACGGCGGGCAGGGCAGGCGCTTTCCGAACGCGGCCCCGAACGCTCACCCGGCAGTCCCGAGCTCGGCGCCGGGAGCGGGAACCCCACTCCGGGCCGGCGCGCAAGCCGGCTCCGCCGCCCCGGCCGCGTATCAGCCGCCCGCCCGCCCTCCCTCCCTCCCTCCCCGGCTCCCGCCCAACTTTGTTCAGCTCCAACTTTGCAGGCAAAGTCCAGGGAGCCGGCGCCCAGCCGCCGCCGCCCGCTCCTCTCCGCGGCCTGGGTCGCCGCCGCCTCGGCCCTACCTGTAGTTGGTGAGCACGCTCTTGTTGACCACTACGATGAGGAAGGAGCTCACGCCGTAAAAGCCAGCGGCCAGCAGTTTCAGGAACACGGTCAGCGTTTCGGCCGACGCCATCCCCAGCTCCTCCTCATGTCTGTGTGTGGAGGATTTCGCGGGGTCTTCTCCTTTAACCCGGGCCTGCTGACGTCTATGAACTTCCGCCATGGCGGCGGCGGCGGCGGCGGCCTGCGAGGGGAGCGGCGGGCGGCGGGGCCGAGCAGAGCTGGGGTCTGAGGCGGCAGCTCGCGGGGACTCGCGGGACCGGGGCCGGTGTACTGGGCCGGCTGCCGCCGCCGCCTCGGCTCCCCGCGCGGCTGCCGCCCACCCCCGCCCAGGGGCAGGGACGCTGTGGTTCACACGCCCCGGGACTTTGATCGGGCATTGTGCAACGCGGGGTCAGAGGGTAGGGGCCGCGCCTGGCTCGGCCTGGGCAGGGCTTGGAGAGGGCCCGGAGAAGGGGCAGTGGCGACCCTGAGTCCCGGACAGAGAGGGAGAAGAAGCTTAGGGGGAACCACTCGGGGACACCAGGATGCCTAGCCGCACAGCACAATCGCGGAAGGAAGCGACCGGCTAACGCCTGCGCGCAAGCCCGCGCTGGGTGTCTCGGGGGCCGCGTACCTGGGATGCGGAGGCTGGCGGCCGGGGGGGCTGAGAGCCGTATTTTCCAGATAACTGCCGCAACCAAAATACAGACCCTCCTCCAATCGGTAACAGGTGGCTGACGGAGTAGTTAACAATGTGCGTGCGTCTAGCCTCACTCGAACGCTATTTTGGTCTCTCTTGCAGAGGGCCTAAGCCCTTAAAAAGTATCAGATGTGGATCAAGAGTAAACATTCAACTGTTCAATATTTCAGTCTGCGTTGCCTCAGATTTCTTACGGTTTCTGAACCCAGAAAACACCATACAATACTGTCTTTGAGATTGTACTGCCATATCCAAAAAGTAGCAAGATAATAAAGTGGCTTGGGGGTTGGTGAAACAGTAAGGTGTTAGGAGCTGAGTTCCAATTCCGGGTTTCCTAGAAATGCCCCCTCACTAGCTGTGTGCCCTTGGGTCAGTTTGTTGAACTCTCTGAGCCTACATCTCCTCATCTCTGGATATAAAGCTGGTTTTCAGTAAACAGTAGACATTGTCATATAAGAGAAACAAATCATTATTACCAGCTTAAACAAAGAAATGACATATCTAATTTTAATGTTAAGGCAGAAAAATAACTTTGAATTATTTATCTAAATATTTTGTCTATATCTTTAAAATATTTTTCCATATTTTAAAATTATGGTAAAATATACATAACACAAAATTTACCATCGTCACCTGGTTTTTATTATGGTGAAATATGCATAATATAAAATTTATTATTTCAACACTTTTTAAGTGTACAATTCAGTGGTGTTAAGTACATTCATGTTGTTGTGAAACTCTTAACCACTACCCTTCTCTAGAGCTTTCGTGTCATCTCAAACTGAGATTATGAAACCACTAAACAATAACTCCCCATTCCTCCTTCCCTCCATCCTCTAGAAACCGCTATTCTACTTTGTCTCTATAAATTTGACTATTCTAGGTATCTCAAATAAGTAGAATCATACAGTATTTGTCCTTTTGTGTCTGACTTATTTCATTTAGCATATTTTCAAGGTTCATCCACATGTAGCATGTGTCAGAATTTCTTTCCTTTTCAAGGCTAGATAATATTCCATTGTACGTATATCTTTTGATTTATATATTTTATGTTATCCTGGGGACACTTGTGTTCTTTGACTGCTCCTTAGGAAAAACTGGCACACAGAATGAAATTCTTAACACAGTCCACAAGGCCTTAGGTGACATGGCTCCTGCCGTCCTTACATTTTCCTCCCTAGGCTTCAGCTAAATCAAACTACACCCAGTTCCCTGAAGAATAACGTGGGTTCCTGTGTCCTTACTCCTGTGTCTTTACTCCCATATTCCCTACATCTGGGGTGCTTTTTCTCTCCCTCCTCTCCACTGTCTCCTGAAGAACTGTTACTTTTCTTTTAGTATTTAGGCAAAATATTATCTCCTCTCTGGGCACCTTCCTTCACACCGCCTCTCCTTGCCCTCCACAGAAATGACATCTCTCCTTTGTGCTTCTCCCACTGCATCTTTGTGCATCCCCTTTATAGAGGCTCTGGAATTATATGTTTACATGTCAGTCTGTTCCACTTGACAGTGAGCTCATTGAGGGCTGGGTGAGGCAGGGACATCTAGCACACTTTAGATGTTTTTGCTAAATGAATCAGCGAATGGTATAACTTTTCAACAATGAAAGAAGTGGCCAAATTTCTTCCTTAACTGCTGGCAGCAGAAGAAAAATAACTCGAAAATTATATTTTGAGAAACATCCCTTGTGAAAAAAATTATTATTAAAATAATAATGTCCCTCATTACAAAAGCAAACAAGCAAAAGAGACTTGTATCGCATAACTATCTTGCTCTCTTCCTCTCTCACCCCTACCCATTTTTCAGAGAAAGCAACTGCTAACCATCTCGAGGCTCTGCTTAGAGCCACTTTCTGTGCCTATACAAATACATATACACACACATATGCATATATATACATACACATATATTTATAGACATGTATTGTTATACATTTTTTAACATAAATGAAGAAAGCCAGGTAAAAACACTGATGCTCAAACCAGGTACTGCCTCTGACACTAGTTTTGTGATCTCCGGCAAGTTGCTTGATGTTACGGTGGTTCAGTTCCCTCATCTGTAAAATGGGGATAACAATAGCACCCACCTCATAGGGTGGTGATGAGAATTAAGTAAGTTAATAAAGTTAAATGCTTAGAATATAGTACACACTTTACAAATGTTCCTAATAATAATAATTACTATTATTATCATTATGATTATGCAACCTTTCTCTTTTCACTTTTTATTCCTTGAAGGCCTTTCTGTGGCAGTAAAGAAACTCTACCTCATTCTTTTTAATGGCTGCAGAGAATTCTATCAGCTAGATGCATCATGATTGATGTGGTCCATCCTATAGACATTTTTAAGTTGTTGCCATTTTTTCAGTTTATAAACAATGCAGCTTTGATTATCCTTGTCCATTCAACTTTGTACAGGTATAAGTTTCTAGAAGTGGAATTGCTTAATTAAAGACTACTTTTTAAAAAAATTAATAGAATGAACAAATTGATCTCCAAAGAGGTTGTACCAATTTTATATTACCACTAACACTGTATGAAAAGGAAATTTCCTTTTATAAAGTCAGGTGGTGATAATGGAAACCAGTGAAAGAGGCCAGATAATAGTTCAAGTGCTACTCTATGGAGTATGAAATGCCAGGTACAAATTTCTGCAACAAATCAATTGCAATTACACAAAATGAAATGAAAATAAATCTCCTAAAAAGTACTGATCCAAGCAATTACTGTTGTTTTTCTCAGCATGATTATGTAATTTATTAGCAAGTATACACTAAGACCTACCATAGACAGGCCAAGAACTGTGTTGGGTTTTCTTAACTCCAGTAATGATTTGTGGAGCCTCAGTAGAATGCTTTGAAGTGTAGAGGAGTGACGCATTCTCATTAGATAATAAGAGATAAGATAGGTACTAAGGGGCTTTCCTGTGGCACAATGGTTAAGAATCCGCCTGCCAGTGCAGGGGACACGGGTTCGAGCCCTGGTCCGGGAAGATGCCACGTGCCATGGAGCAACTAAGCCTGTGCGCCACAACTACTGAGCCTGCGCTCTAGAGCCTGCAAGCCACAACTACTGAGCCCATGTGCCACAACTACTCAAGCCCGCGTGCCTCGAGCCCGTGCTCCACAACAAGAGAAGCCACCACGATGAGAAGCCCGTGCACCACAACGAAGAGCCGCAACCCTCTCGCTGCAACTAAAGAAAGCCTGCGCGCAGCAACGAAAACCCAACACAGCCAAAAATAAATGAAATTAAATCTTTTAAAAAAATAAAAAGAAAAAATAAAGCAACTATACCCCAATAAAAAAAAAGATATGTACCAATACTGTAGTAGGGTATTATTATAGGGAATTAGACTTTTAGGTATTTTAGGTACTCAAACCTCTTTCCTAACCTTAGTAATATTAATCACAGAATTATATATGGGAAATTTATACATTATCTGATAAAATTTAATAAAGTTTAAAAAATATCTTAAAAAGCTGTACAAGATTGGAAAGACTGGATTTAAATGTTCTCATTGATATACAAGCCTACTCTAGTTGGAAATGTCAACATTGTAGGTTGAAATATTTTATATCTTGCTAGGTGTAATTACTAGCAGAAAAATCTTCTTTGTATTTAAATCATGTCTTTTGCTTTAGCCGTCATGTTTCTCCATGAAGGAAATTGATCAGTACTTTTCCCTACACTTCTCAATTTGCCCTGGCTCACTTGCTCTTCTTATACTGGAATTTATTTGGCCTTTTTGGTGTTCACCAATTTCTTGTTTCACTAGATCAGCCAGCCTAGATCATACCCAATAACGTACTGTGTTGTACCACTGATTATGCTATAGCCAGGGAGCAAAGGTCATAGGTGTTTCCTATTTGAACAATGCTTTTAAAATTCTGAGAACCAAAGTGCAAAGAAGTAGCGTGCAGCTTCTCTGCAGTGCCTTATACCTCTCTGTGTTGGGCTGGAAGGAATGACCTCAATGACGACTGATGGGTGGCCTGGCAATGTGCTGCAATTGAAATTCATTATCTTATTGCATCCTTACCACTCTAGGAAGTAGGTATGGTGAAACAACTTATAAACAGGAAAACAAAGGCCTAGTGGAAGTATTAGGCATGCCCTGAGTCTCACAGCTCTAAGTAACTGTACAGATTTGGCCCTAGTCCGTTCAACATTCAGTTTGTGCTCCTCCACTGGACACCCCTGCCTTATTTGGGGTAGGTGGACATACTTGCTTCTGAAGTTCTCACAATGCCATTACCTCCTTCAGTTGCCAAGTTTAGTGTTTAGCAATGCTATGAAGAATAATCAGGATATAGGAACACCAGTCTATTAAAATCATTGTCACTCATGACCCATTCACAACAATACCATACCAGACATCAATTTAGGCATTGAAAATACAGAGACATTTCAAACTCAATTTATTTACAACTGAACCTCATACAAATCCATCCAAAGTCAGCAGCTTTGATTCTTCTGTCTCTGTGAACTGACTGGCCTCACTATCCACCTATTCACATGGCTCTGCCCAATCTACAACCACCTCCAGTCACGCTTCAACTCAAACCAAACTAGTTTTATCCCCTCCACTACACTGAAGCTGGTCACCCCTAAGTCACCAATGACCTCCATGGAAGTAAACCCAGCTGACTCTCAGTCCTTCTCTTGCTTGACCACTTCACAGCATTTGCACTGCTGACCCTCTCCCTTCCCTTAGCTACACTCTCTTCCCTTGATTCCTGGGACACCACACTCTCTGCAACTCCTCCTGGTTCTCTGGATGCCCCTCTCATTTGTCTTTGCTGGTTCCTCCTCTTCTACCATATCTTTAAAATAAAAGTTTCATATGCCTCAA